CAATTCCCTTTTTTTTCTTCTGAACTCTCCTGGTCCCTCACTCTACCTTTCCCTTTCCCCACTCTGTTAAGCCGAGTCACTTTGCCTTTCCCTTACGTATCCCTCTCCACCCACTCACCGTACTGCTTCCTCCTCCCTCTTCTTCCTTCTCCTCCTCCCTCTCCCCCACTCACCGTAGTGCTTCCTCCTCCCTCCTCCCCCTCACCTTTCCCTCTTCCCCCTCCCCTACTCACCGTAGTGATTCCTCCTCCCTTCTCCTCCTCCTCCCTCACCCTTCCCTCCTCCCTCCCCCCACTCACCGGAGTGCTTTCTCCCTCCCTCTCCCCCTCCCCCCTCACCTCCCCTCCTCCCCCTCCCCCTCCCTTCCTCCCCCTCCCCCCTCCCCCTCCTCCCCTCCCTCCCCCTCCCCTCCCTCCCCTCTCCCTCCCCCACTCACCTTACCTCCTCCCCTCCCCCTCACCTTCCCTCCCCTCCCCCCTCCCCCCCCCCCCCCCCCCTCACCGTAGTGCTCCCAGCGCGACACGGGCGCGACGGCGATCCCGCAGGAGAAGACCTCGTCGGCGTCCCTGGCGAGCGCCATCGTGGTCACGTAGCCGCCGTAGCTCCAGCCCCAGATGGCGATCCTGCGGGCGTCGACGAAGTGCAGGTTGTCCCTCAGGTAGCGCGCCACCGCCAGCTGGTCGTCCACCTCCTTGCCTCCGAGGGCGCGGTACACCTGCGGGGGAAGGGGGAGGGGGAGGGTGGGTGTTACACCTGCGGTTGTCATTGTTATTGATATTTTAATTATTTTTAATAGTCTTAATTATTTGCCTGGCGAGGGGCGGCTGGGAGCTGACCTCTTTGCCTCTTATGCCTGTAAGGACACACTCACGAGGTAGGCCTTTTATTATCACCATTATCTCTGCAATTGTTCATATTTTCAAAAGAAGAAGAAAAGGAAAAAAAAAGAAAAAAAAATAAGAAAAAAATAAGAAGAAAAAGAAAAAAGAGAAAGATTGAAAAAAGTAAGAAGAAATAGAAAAAAAAGAAAGAAAGAAAAAGAAAGAAAGAAGAAGAAGAAAGAAAGAAAGAAGAAGAAGAAGAAGAAGAAGAAGAAGAAGTAGAAGAAGTAGAAGAAGAAGAAGAAAAAAAAAGAAGAAGAAAGCAAGAAGAACAAGAAGAAGAAGAAAAACAAAAAACCCTCGACCGCACCTCATGCTTGATCTTGTCGCCCTGGAAGCCGGATCCGCGGCCGTCGATCATGGCGTAGATGATGTCCTTCTTCGAGGCCAAGTAAGTGCCCCAAGAAAGCACCATCTTGGAGGTCACGGCCTGAGTACCCGGGGCGGCGTACCTGGGGGAGGGGGGGAGGGGGAGGGTAAAGGGTGACCGGTGCTTTTCATTTCGTTTCTTAAGAATTTTTTTTTAAAATGAAACTGCAGAGAAATCGCCAGTTGGGAGGGAACGCTAGTGGAATGGGCGCTCCGGCAAAGACAAACGCCGCATATTCGAGGGGGGAACTGTGGCAGGGATGACGTGGTGTGGATCGTGACCTTCTCTGGATGCATCAGGGAGATAGATATATCCTTCTCTCAAATCCTATCGACCGTAAATAAACATTCTACGGTTCAGTCCTGTCGATCGTAAGTAAATATCCTATGAATCTGTCCGGTCGATTATGGATAAATATCCTGCGGTTCATTCCTATCTCGATAGATTATTTTATGGTAAGAACATTGTCAAATTACACCAACACAATCATATAGGTACATATATACATACTCTGTGTGTGTGAGTGTGTTTTTCTGTCTGTCCGTCTGTTCTCTTCTCTCTCATTCTCCTCTCTCTCTCCCTCTCTCTCTCTCTCTCTCTCTCTCTCTCTCTCTCTCTCTCGTCTCTCTCTCTCTCTCTCTCTCTCTCTCTCTCTCTCTCTCTCTCTCTCTCTAAAATCTTCTCTATCTCCTCTCCCTCCTCCCTCTCCCTCCCTCTCCTCCCCCCCCTCCCCCTCCCCACCTTCCCCCGCGTGCACGACCATCGGGTAAGTGGTGATCTCGTCCTCCCGCAGCCCAGGAGGGAGGAACAGCTGCACGTGGTAAGTGTACGCGTTGTCGCCCTCCAACTCGACGCGGAAGGTCTGCACTTGAGGCATGGCCATCTCCTCCACGCGGTCCCGGAGGTCGTTGTAGTCGTCGAGGGTGTAGACCATCTGTGGGGGGGGAGGGGGAGAGGGGGTGGTTAGTTTGGATGTGATGGAGGGAGAGGGGGAGGGTGAATTTTGTATGGAAGGGGAGTGGGGTTGGTGGGGGGTTGAAATGAAGAGGGAGAGTTGGGGAGGGGGTGGTTAGTTTGGAAGTGATGGAGGGGGAGAGGGGGGGGGAATTTTGTATGGAAGGGGAGTGGGGTGGGGGGTGGGGGTTGAAATGAAGAGGGAGAGTTGGGGAGGGGGTGGTTAGTTTGGAAGTGATGGAGGGGGAGAGGGGGGGTGAATTTGTATGGATGGGGAGTGGGGGTGAAATGAGGGAGAGTTGGGAGGGGGGTGAGTTTGGAGATGGGGAGGAGAGGGGGTTTTTGAAGTGAAGGGGGGAGGGAGGGAGAGGGAGAGGGGGTGGTTAGTTTGGATATGATGGGGAGGAGAGGGGGGTTGAGTTTGAAGTGAAGTGAGGAGAGGATTGGGGTGAGCTTGAATGGAAGGAGGGGGAATGAGGGTTGAGTTTGAAATGAAGAGAGGAGGGAGGGAGAGGGAGAGGGGGTGGTTAGTTTGGAAAGAAAGGAGGGGAGTGGGAGCGCGGGGGGGGGGGGGTTGAGTTTGAAGTGGAAAGGGGAGGGGGGGGGGGGGGTTCAGTTAGAATGGAAAAGGGGGTGGGGGAGATAATCATTTTAGAATGGAAGAGACAGGGGTTCAATCTGAAATGAAGGGGAGGGGGAGAAGGGGGAGGGTGAAGAATTGGAGTAAAAGGGGTAAATACAAGAAATTCGTCCAGAGTGGTCATCTGGGGAAAGGGAAGGAGGGGTTGAAAGGGAGGAGGGGGAGGGGGGGAGGAGGGGGAGGGAGGAGGGGTTGAAAGGGAGGAGGGAGGGGGAGGGAGGAGGGGTTGAAAAGGAGGAGGAGGGGGAGGGAGGAGGGGTTGAAAGGAGGAGGGAGGGAGGGGGGGGAGGGGGAGGAGGAGGGTTGAAAGGGAGGGAAGGGAGGGGAGGGAGGAAAGGAGGGGAGGGGGAGGGAGGAGGGGTTGAAAAGGGAGGGAGGGGGAGGGAGGGGTTGAAGGAGGAGGGGAGAGGGGAGGGAGGGGGAGGGATTGAATGAGTGAAAGAGGAGAGGAGGGTAGGGAGGGGAGGGAGGGGAGAATACTGTGGAGTAATTGCAATGGTGGATGAGGGTGTGATCGGTGACGAGATGGGTCGATGCTGGCGTGTTATATGAAGAGTCGCTTCGAGAAGGTGGTAAAAAATGATGAAGGTGATGTGAACATACACAAATCAAGTTCATTAAGATTTAAGTAGTAACAATGGAACTGATCATCATCTTAATCAATAAACAAAACATGAATAATTGAAATGAGGAAAATATGAGATTATGACATGACAAGGAGAATCCTGGACAATTTAAGTGATAGCCCAAAGATTATCACGTGCAGTCCAGATATGATATGCACAAAGGTGACGGGTGGGAAGTTCAAATATCAAACTTAGTTGTGGTGCTAAAGTGCTGGAAGATAATATGTGCAATTTTATGCAGTGCTTGAGTATCATGATTGCAATTTATGAAGTAGATTACAGACCATTTTTTATATAAGAGCGTGTTCTAGTCTTGCGACTCTACTTATCAAAAAAATCGGTTTTAAAAGAATCTTATAGTCGAATTATTGTTATTTGTGGTTATGTCACACATTTTTCAGCTAGGAAGAACAGCAGCAAATAATTATAAAATGATATCAGAATGGTTAGATATACTCCTAATTTAGAAATATCAAAACAGCCTGATTATCATCTATCAATTCAAAAACGCGATAGCTGTGCATCTGATATCACTGATCTGCTATTATATACATCCTGAAGCTTATTAAAAGTTGTCATTAACGGGGAAGATCAAGATCGGGTTGTATTATCGTGAAAAAAAACACACTTTCTGGGCTTAAATTTTACGTTTCCATAAGCAGCTGAAATAAATCATAGCCTAACCTAACCTAAACTAAAATGAACTCTGAATGTCTGAATAGAATCAATCAAAAGATCTCATATCCTTGTTTGTTATCTAATCAACTTAAACACGTTATCTTCTCTATAATGTGATAAAAATCTTGGAGAAAATGTCTACATATTCTTCTTCATCTTAGTGATAATGTTGATATGAGTTTCCTATCATGAACATCATCATACCTACAGTTTCAATAAGAATATACTAACAATATATACACTCTATTTACTGCAGTCCACCCACGTCGAAGGACCTGAAAACCCTCGAAAGAAAACGGGAAGAAATATTTACCTGCCGAAAAGAAACATAAAAAGCAACACTTTGGAGGGTAAACCATCGTGTTCTTTTATGCGACATTATTCACAAGCGATTTCACTTAAAAAAAAAAGAGATATAAAAGCCTAGCACTTCGTTTCAGATTCCATGCAAGGCGTGAGTTTAGAGGCAGTATTATTGAGTCAGTGTAGTAGATCGTCTGTTGATGCGACAAAACGTCTTCTAAATTTCGAGGCCATGAAGTAATGGAGTGCTGTTCTGTTCATCGAAGAAGTTATCGATATTTGAGAAAGATGAGAAACAGAGAGAGAGGGGGGGGGGAGAGAGAGAGAAGAGAGAGAGAGAGAGAGAGAGAGAGAGAGAGAGAGAGAGAGAGAGAGAGAGAGAGAGAGAGAGAGAGAGAGAGAGAGAGAGAGAGAGAGAGAGAGAGTCTCGCCCAAACGAAGAGAAACACAGAAAACGAAAAGAGAATAGAGAGAAATCCCAAATATGAAGGCACGATAACTTCCCCTGACCTTTGACCTCATTCCCCGGCACAAGCGAAGGCAACAGACTTCTACAACACACAAAATAAGGAAAGAAAATGCACATTCGGCAACCCATTGTCCATTGCTGAGTCACATGGCAGAGTGGAACTTTTTTATATTTTTATTAAAGGAGATTTTTTTGAACTAAGATCTTATTTTGACCTTTTGTTGAGTGTTTATTTACCTCGAACTTTGGCTCTGACCTTACCGTCGCTCCCTGGGTCACGACCTGAGCTGACCTTCGTTCTCCTTTCTTTCTTTTCTCGCTTTCCTGGAATCGTAAGTGCTATTTGGCAACAGGTATGGTAGGCGAGCAAGGAAGAGGCTCGGTGAACTCTGCATATTGTTTTTTTTTTCTTCTTTTCCTGATTTTTATTATTTCCTCCCCTTTCCCTGACTTTTATTCTTTGTATCCTTTCCCTGATTCTTATTTTTTATTCCCTGATTTAGAGATATATTTCAGGGCCGTTCCGAGGCTCTATGGGCCCTTAAGCAAGATTTGGTAAGAGTGGACTTGAATTTAGAGGAGAGTTTTAGATAACCAGCTAGTTAATACAATGTAGCTTTTTTAGCCTTTTTTGGATAGTGATCATTAACAAGATATAAGATATGATGTAAAAAGAAAAGGTTTCAGACACTCTATGCAGCTAATTAGTGATCAAGCTGGCTCTTAGTTCGTTTGTGTGTCCGGCCGAATCTGAGCTATGTTCTTGACTGGTATATCTTAGGGATATCTTTAAGGATATTTCTTGGTTTAGATGGATATATTTTTTTCTTGATTTCAATCCCCCTTTTATAAGACTTTCTTGTGGGTATCCCGGACAAGCCTTCTTCTTTTCACATATATTTTTTATAACCCTTATCTCCTGGATTCAGATTGATAAATCTGTTTATGAGGATAGAATGAAGCTAAGGTAAAATATGAGGGTAAGGTTGACTATGAAATCTGGGACGTGGTTATTGCATCGCACATATAAGATGCAATTGAAACCTGATGAAACCTGTGGTGAGAGGAGGAGGGGGGGGGGGGTACAAATAATTTCTCTTGGTCTGTGTTAGAATGCGAGGGGGAAGTAAAAGGAACAAAGGAAGATGTTACAAATCCTGATAACTAAATAAATGAATGAAAGATATCCATAAATGATCCATAAACAAGAACATATCAATGACATAGGAATAACCCTTATATAAACCACACATAAACCTACACTAAGGACACACAAATCATAACCCTCCCCCCCCCCCCAATAAAGAAAGAAAGAAAGAAAGAAAGAACGAATAAAAACACCCACTCTAAGAAAGAAAGAAAGAAAGAACGAAAAAAAACACCCACTCTAAGAAAGAAAGAAGAAAAAAAAACACCCACTCTAAAGAAAGAAAGAAAGAACGAAAAAAACACCCACTCTAAGAAAGAAAGAAAAAAAAAAAGAAGAAAGAAAAAAAGAAAAAAAAAAACACCCCACTCTAAGAAAGAAAGAAGAAGAAAAGAAGAAAGAAAGAAAGAAGAAGAAAAAAAAACTCTAAGAAGAAAGAAAGAAAGAAGAAAAAAACACCCACTCTAAGAAAGAAAGAAAGAAAGAACGAAAAAAAACACCCACTCTAAGAAAGAAAGAAAGAAAGAACGAAAAAACCCACTCTCTCTAAGAAAGAAAGAAAGAAAGAACGAAAAAACACCCACTCTAAGAAAGAAAGAAAGAAAAGAACGAAAAAAAAACACCCACTCTAAGAAAGAAGAAAGAAAGAAAGAACGAAAAAAAAAACCACTCTAAGAAGAAAGAAAGAAAGAAGAAAAAAACACCCTCTAAGAAAGAAAGAAAGAAAGAACGAAAAAAACACCCACTCTAAGAAAGAAGAAAGAAAGAACGAAAAAACCACCACTCTTAAAGAAAGAAAGAAAGAAAGAACGAAACACCACTCTAAGAAAGAAAGAAAGAAGAAAAAACACCCATCTAAGAAGAAAACAAACAAACACCACTCTAAGAGAAGAAGAAAAAAAAACAGAAAGAAAAAGACGAAAAACATCTAAGAAGAACCACCTCTAAGAAAGAAGAAGACGAAAAAAACACCCTCTAAAGAAGAAGAAGAATCTAAGAAGAAAGAACGAAAAAAAAAACCCACTCTAAGAAAGAAAGAAAGAAAGAACAAAAAAAACACCACTCTAAGAAAGAAAGAAAGAGAAAGAAAAAACACCACTCTGAAAGAAAGAAGAACGAAAAAAAAACCCACTCTAAGAAAAGAAAGAACGAAAAACACCCACTCTAAAGAAAGAAAGAACGAAAAAAAACACCCTCTAAGAAGAAAGAAGAAAGAACGAAAAAAACACCCACTCTAAGAAGAAAGAAAGAAGAAGAAAGAAAGAAAGACGAAAAAAACACCCTCTAAGAAAGAAGAAATCTAGAGAAGAAGAAGAAAAACACCACTCTAAGAGAAAGAAAGAAAGAAGAAAAAACGCAAAAGAAAGAACGAAAAAAACACCCACTCTAAGAAAGAAAGAAGAAAGAACGAAAAAACACCCACTCTAAAAAG